CCCCAGGTGGTGCGCGTCGGGGGCGAGGAGAGGGAAGTCACCGTGCGGGGCCTGGAGCCGGGGCGCAAGTACAAGATGCACCTGTATGGCCTGCATGGGGGACAGCGCGAGGGGCCCGTGTCCACCGTGGGCGTGACCGGTGAGTGAGGGCTAAAGGGTCCCAGGATTGGGCTCGAGAAAGTTCCCATTAATGGAGTCTCTCGTCTCCTCTCCTGGATATCCTAAAGCCTCAGCCTCTGAACCCCATTGTCCTCTTAGCAGCTGTGATGGGCGTGCCGGGCAGGAGGAGTAGGTCAGGGCAGGGCCGCCTGTCTCAGGGAGGCCTAGGCGTGAGGCCTTCAGGGCAGTAACCCTCTGTGCTTTGCCTGGGAGCTCTGGATAGAGCCCGTTTTGTGGGTTGGCACATATGCCTTGAAATATTAATGCATTCAACAAATACTTATTATGTAAAACTTCAAACATATTTACAAAGAGAAAGAATAATATAATGAACTCCCCTGTATCTGTCGACCATTCCCACCAAATGTCAGGGCCTGTGGGATGTGTGGCTCACCCTCACCCACTCCCTGCCTGCCCTCTCCCCACAGACTGTGCTCTTTATAAGCAGCTTTACTGGAGTATATAATTGACAGACCATTAAATGCACCTGGTGTCGATTTTCAGTGTATTTAACAGAGTTGTGCACCCTTCACCAATTACCTTGTTTTTTCACCACCCAGGAAGAAACCTCATGTCCAGACCCTCTTCAATGCCCAGCCCCACCCCCCAAGTATACTTTTCTGTCTCTGTAATCTGCCGTTTCTGGACATACCGTATAAATGGAATGTTTTGTGCCTGGCTTCTTACACCGGGCACGTTTTAGAGATTCATCCATGTTGTAGCATGGAGTAGTACTCATTCCTTTATAGCCAAATCATGTATTCTGTGTGTGGATAGACCACTGCAATATCTTAAACTCATCCCAGACACTCAACACTCCATCACTACATATTTAAGTGTATTCCTCTCTTTAAAAAGACTATTTAAAAGTCACCATATCCGAGCTCTGAGCAACAGGGTCGCCGGTTCGATTCCCGGCCTGAGCTGGGCTGCTGCTGAGCTGCCAACAGGTAGCAGGATGGCTCAGCTAAAAAAAAAAAAAAAAGTCTATCATAATTATTATACCTTTCAAATGAACAGTCATTCCTCAATGTCCTAAGGTTCCTAAGGTTTCCGGGTAGTGCTACAATATCCTGATCGTTTCATAATTATTGTTTTGCAATTTGTTGCTGGAATTTGGTCTAAATAAGGAGGATAGATTGTACTTGGGCGAATTGGAATTTTAGACAGGCGTTCAGGGAAGGCATCAGAGAGAAGGTGACAGTTGAACTAAGACTCAAAGGTAGCACCTGAAGGAAGAGCATGCAGGCAGAGGGAACAGTCAGTGCAAAGGCTCCGAGGCAAGAGGCTGGCACCGTAGATGAACCATAAGGAGGCCGCAGAAGGACTTTGATGGTCATAACCAGAAATGGATCTTAAATTAGGCCCAGAGCTAGCCCTGCTTCTGGCCTGAATCCAGGAGAGCTGGGGTCTTGGCAACTCCTTCCAGCAACAGGAAAGCTTCTGTTTGCGTCTCTTCTCAGCCCCTGAAGAGGAGTCCCCTGCCAGCCCCGCTCTGAAGCCACAGCTGGGAGAGCTGACTGTGACAGATGCCAGCCCGGACTCCCTGCGCCTCTCCTGGACCGTCCCCGAGGGACAGTTTGACCACTTCCTGGTTCAGTACAAGAACGGGGACGGGCAGCCCAAGGTGGTGCGGGTGCCAGGACACCAGGACGAGGTCACCATCTCGGGCTTGGAACCAGACCACAAGTACAAGATGAACCTGTACGGCTTCCATGCCGGCCAGCGCCAGGGCCCCATCTCCACCATCGGTTTCACTGGTGAGTGTGCCATTGGACACTGGGCCCTGCCCTGAGCTGGACTCAGTTTCCTTTTTACTGTCCGTATTAAGGCGTTTTTGTTCCATTGTTCCTGAGGTTGAGCCTCCTGAGCTCCTGGGTCCATTTCTGATTGTGTTGTCACTGCGAGCCTTTGGGGTTTACCCAGCTGTCGCACCCTTTCCATGTGTGCTCTTTGGATACTTGAAGAGGCAGGGCACTAGGGAAATAACACAGACTCAGGCAGACATCAGGTCAACCCTAGCCTGGCCCATTCGAGCTGTGTGACCTCAAGAGAATCAGAGGTTTCTCTGTGCCTCCCTTTCCTCCTCTATAAAGACAGAATAGCCACTCCTGTCTGGCAGGGTGCACATGCGTGTGCCTCGGCTCACACACAATGAATGGTAACTACAGGTTTCCCCTTCTGAGGAAAGTAATTGTTTCCTGAAAACCCTTAGAGTGACTTTTCCTCATTACCATTAATTTCAGTGGGAAAAATTGGTCATGCTCTCCAGCCGCCAAATTGAGACCCATTTGTGCTAAATCAACAGTGAATCCTGCTGGCATGGATACTATTAGATGAGTAGTTAATATCAGACATATTCGAAACTTGACAAGGCGCTTTCCCTCATTCATTTCTCCCGAATATGGAGGTGCGTCGCTTTGTAAACGGTGTGTTGCAGCTATTACCCCAGAGATGCTTCAGGCCCAGTTCCCAAACAGCAGACATACGAGCATGTTGATTTTGTAATTCAGCTATTAAGGCAGAATAAAACCCTACAATGGACAGAAAAGATGAAAGAAATCATTGAGACCAAAGCACATGATCCCACTGATGGCAAATGGGTCTGTCACAGGGCCCAATGGGTCATCTCTGCCGTGTAAGTGAGTGGAGAACTATTACCAGTCTGAAAGTGGCCTGACTGCAAAGCGGGTCTCATGTATTCTCATCTCTTTGCTCTCAACTGAGAAATCTTAACTGGTTTCTAAATATGCTCAGAGCAGTCTTCTAAACCAGAGGAGGTGCGAAAGGAAAACACTCATGAAATGGAATTCCCAAACCTGAGGAAATGTACCTCCTGATGTGATGTGTGTTAACGCTTGGTGCTGTTAGTTCTGTCCCACTGGACGGATTTGTTCTACAGCCCCCAAGGGTTCATGCATGCACACCTTCAGTGTCATCGGGGACCCAGCTACCATCATGATGTCACCACAAGTGTGTGCCCTGTCCCCTGGTGGGTGAGGATTCAAACCAGGGAAATGATGTCTTAATCCCGGGGCACCGGAATCCATCTCGGGGCACTGGTGTGTCTGGGAGATACCCAGGCATGTCCACACATTCTTTATCTCCTGATCTAGCCTCGGGAAAGGACCAAGAAGTGACCCCAACCCCAACAGACCTGCCCACCATGACGCCCCAGCCTCCCATCAAGCCGCGCCTGGGGGAGCTGGCAGTGACTGACACCACCCCCGACTCCCTGCGCCTCTCCTGGACTGTCCCCGAGGGACAGTTTGACCACTTCCTGGTTCAGTACAAGAATGGGGGCGAGCAGCCCAAGGTGGTGCGGGTGCCGGGACATCAGGACGAGGTCACCATCTCGGGCCTGGAGCCTGATCACAAGTACAAGATGAACCTGTATGGCTTTCATGGTGACCAGCGCCAGGGCCCCGTGTCTGCCTTCGGGGTGACAGGTGAGAGGACGGTGGCAGCCCCAGGGTGGGAGCCTAAGGAGGATCACACTCTGTGTGATGGGGGAGTGGGGTGCAGGGGCCCCTCTGCTGGAGGCTGAGCCATGGTGCCCTTTGTGCCTCCCCCCTGTGATCCCCGAGGACCAGCAGGCCCCCTGGGCAGAGCAGGGCCTCCGTGAGTTGTGCTGGTGGCTGCCCTGAGTCCACCACAGCTGACCGTGAGGCTCTGGGCATGTTTGTGAGGTGGCA